TATTTTCAATTTATATATTGTATTTCTTAATATTATGACCAAGAATTTTATCGGCATTAATTTTTCAGTGTAGTTTGTTGTTTAAAATAATGTAATCATCAAAATGATACATATTGTTACACTACTATTAACTAGGCTTCAATATATCAGTGTTTATTTCATTGTGTTAAATGTATACTTGTAAATAAAATAGCTGCAAACCTTAAAAAAAAAACTGTCACACTGGCACATGCACAGACAGATCGGTGAGACAGGATATATGGCAGTTTAGAAGTACTCAGCCGCTTACGGGCTTCATAGTGAAAAAGCAAGTGATGATTTGCACTATATATGGTATACAAAGTGTTAATTACTTTGATATTTATAAAGCACCTACAACTGTCTTTTTTTTTCATAATCAATATTTTTTATTATGGTTTTGTGGGGTACAGTTAAGGGTTAGGTGTACAATTACGTTTCATTCAGGCACCCTGTTGATAAGAGGTGTTTCCCCATCCCCAGATAGATATTTGCTACTGTTACTACAAATAAGTCTTAAAGAGACCAATAGGCCAGGCGCAGTGGCTCACGCCTGTAATCCCAGGACCTTGGGAGGCAGAGGCAAGAGGACTGCCTGAGCCCAAGTGTTCGAGACCAGCCTGGGCAATTTGCTGAGACCTCGTCTCTACAATAAATTTAAAAACTAGCTGGGCATGGGGGCGCACGCCTGTAGTTCCAGTTACTTGATAGGTTGAGACAGAAGGATCACCTGAGTCCAGCAGATCAAGGCTGCGGTGGTCGTGAGCGTTCCATTGCGCTTCGGACTGGGTGATAGAGTGAGACTCCTACTAATAAAAAAAAAAAAAGGAAAAGAAAAAAACAAGAAGTCCAGGCTCAGTGGCACAGCCTGTAATCCCAGCACTTTGGGAGACCAAGGCGAGTGGATTGCCTGAGCTCATGGGTTCGAGACCAGCCCGACAACTCAGCAAGACCTCGTCTCTACAATAAATCAAAAAATTAGCTGGGCGTGGTAGCGCATGCCTGTAGTTCCAGCTACCTGGAAGGCTGAGGCAGAAGAATTGCTAGAGCCTAGCAGGTCGATGTTGGGATGGTGGAGAGTGTGCCACTGCACTCCAGCCTGGACGACAGAGTGAGATTCCAACTCAAAAAAAAAGAAAAAATGAACAAGGGACATGAACAGTCAGTTCATAGCAGAGGAAAAACACAGGTCTTCATCAAGATAAAGATGCACAGTCTCTCTTGTGGGAAGAAAAATGCAAATGAATGTGATCGTGAAATGCTATGTTTCACCTATCCGATTAGTAAAGCTAAAAAAATCTGACAGATTCTGTTGGTCCAGGTGTAAGGAAATTCAGACATGACAGGGAGTGGGGAGTAAACGAATCACACTTCTCTGGAGGGTAATAAAGCAATATCTGTATTTAAATTGGAAATGTCCTTTGACTTAGTGGTTCCATTTCTCATTTTTCAAGTACATCAAGACATACATTGTGGCATTGCTTGTAATAGCAAAAGATTGGGAATAGCTCAACTGTCCACCCATGGGAAATTCATGAAATAAAAATAGTACATGTGTTCAACGAAATACTATGAAGTCATTAAAGAGAATGGGAGCTGGTGCGGTACCTCACACCTGTAATCCCAGCACTTTGGGAGGCCGAGGCGAGAAGATTGCCTGAGTCCAGGGGTTCAAGACCAGCCTGGGCAACTTGGTGAGACCGTGTCTCTACAATAAATAAAAAATTAGCTGGGTGTGTTGGCATGTGCCTGTGGTTCCAGTTGCTTGGAAGGCTGAAGCAGAAGGATCGCCTGAGTCCAGAAAGTTGAGGCTGCGGTAGTCGTTAGCATGCCACTGCACTCCAGCCTGGGTGACAGAGTGAGACTCTGACTCAAAAAGAAAGAAAGAATGGGGACACACTTATTGTGTGCTGTGACAATGATCTTCGACACACATTATAAATGGAAACGCGAGGTGCCTTTGGAAGGGAAGGGGAGGTGGAGACTGGGTGGCTGCACTCAGAGGAGGGAGGGAGACTTGCTTATGAGATAATCTCTGCCCCTGATCTCCAAACCCATTTTCCCTTCTTTCTAGGCACACAGTGTCACTTATTTCCCAGACTCCTTTGTGCAGGAAGCGTGGTCATGTGACCGATGTCCAGTCAGTGAGGCAGACTCAGCCTGTAGGAACTCCCTTGTGCCGTCCTTAATGCTTTTTTCTCCTCTGTTTTGTGTGCAGTGGGGCTGAGCCTACGGGTGACTTTGGTGGATGGGATGCTGAGTTAGAGAAAGGAGCCTGGGTCCCTGAGTTCCCACCTGGAGGAGAATTTCCAGAGCCCCACCTGTCAGAAGCAATGTAAGCAGGAACTTAATTGTGTTTATCACTGGAATTTTGGGGCCTATCACTTATAGGAGTTCTGTCACAATAATATTTTGATATTGAAAGGAAAAAAAAAATTGCTAAAATGGGATTACCTTGGCCATTGCAGGCAGCTGGGTGTTGGCTTATATTTTGTTTTGTTATAGCTACCAATTAGTGGTATATTTTAGTAAATAATATTTTATTGTGTAACCAGCTCTGTTAACGCTCTTGCTCTGAAGTAAGTTTAATTAACTCCACTGTTTAAAGTCACCGATCAGTAAAACTAGTAAAACTATAATCTCCCCCCAGTAACAGGCATTAGGATTTGATAAGTAGCATCTTGCTCCAAGGAAGAGTTTCTAGCTATCTTGCATGACAAACCATTTGGACACCAAGATAAGAGAAACGAACAGTTATAACTCCAGCCCTTCTACAATTTTCCCATGGACAGCACACTCCCAGTTAAATGCCTTTTTGTTCCCTAAATCCAAGGACGTTTGAAACTTGTTTGTGTCTTAAAACTTTGTTTTACAGACCTTGAGCTACTACTCTCTCTGCCTAGTAATCAACTATCTGGCCTCCACCACACTGTTACATTTCAGAGGAATGCTCCTGTTCCCAGCCTTCCAAAGGAAGCCTTGTGATCACCCAGCTGCAAACACTCAGCGCCAGAGGCTTCTGTGCTCAGCCCCCTCTTCAGTCTTTTTTTCCTAATTTACCTTTTTTTTTTTTTTTTTTTTTGAGTTG